AGCGGGACTACTTCTTGCCGGCGCTGAGTGATGACTTCAGTTTCTTTAAGAGGCGGATGGCTTCGTATGCTGAGGCCGCCACGCTCACGACGGCTGTGAACCGTCGCCTGGTCGACGCCGAGGGTCAGAGGCTGATCCCTCAGGAGCTGGTTGAGATGTGGACGGAGCACAGCGAAAGGGCGACCTTGCCCACCATCCTGGATGGATTCGGCCTGGATCCCAGGGACAGGGATGCTTTGGGACGGTGGCGGCCGGAGGGAAGCGACGTTTACAGTAGGAGCTTCTCTGGCAAGATTCGGCGGATTCATCGATACTTTGCTTCTGAGCTGGAGAGGTTGAGACTTGCTGGGGATGTCGATGATTATGACGTCTTGGATGCCGCCTTTCAATGGCTGCGAGCTAGGCGGGGGTTCTCTTCTGATGATGCTGAGGGAGTCGTCGATGCCTTTAAGCGAGCCTTGGAGTCCTGGACGGCGCAGGACCCGATTGTTCAGGAATCGGATGGGGAGGAGGAAGTTGCCGAAGAGGAGCCGGAGGCTCCCACCGAGGCTCCGGATGCAGTCGAACGGACCTCAGGCTATGTTCTGGTCTTCTCCAAGCGGGGCACGGCGCGGCTCCACAGAGCCGGGAAGGAGGGCTGCTGGATGGCCCGGGCGAGGCACTTTGATGAGTGCCGAGTTGTGCAGGAGATGCCGGAGCCTGATGAGTGTTCTTACCGCTGCAGGCTGTGCTGGCCAGGGCCGGAGGAGATGAACGACTCGAGCGATGACTCGAGCGAAGACTCATCTGGCTCGGCCATGCCGGGCGTGGCAGAGGACTCGGGCACAAGTCCCCGGGCGTCTTGGGAGCGGGTCCCTCTGGGGTGAATAAAAGAGGGGATCGTACGATCTCTCGGTGTGGTGCAGCTGAGTGAATGCATCGTGGAGTGCAGAGAAGCAGGTTCTTCTCGAGCAGCTTGACAGGCAACCGCTTGTTCCGGTGCAGGGCTCATGGTCAGCCGCAGGCGGTTCCTCTAGGGATGCCGCAGTCAGATCTAGGGCCACGCAGGTCTTCATTGATTGCAAACTTTTCACGACGCACTTCTCGCATTTCTGGGATAGTGCGGGGGCTGAGCTTAGCCACTTTCGGACATGGCGAATGCGGCGCCCCCGGCACCTGCGCTGCCGGATGCCTTGACTCGGGGGTCATCAGACCTTCGCTTCTTGCTTCAGCGGCAGGGGATCGATGATGATCACCAGCGGACGCTCTTTTCTGCCGGGGTTGATACCTTGGACAAGTTTAGTGCTTTCGCGACTGGGGAAGCTGACTTGCTGGCTGTCTTGAAGGATGAGTTTCGGTTAGATCCCACGGCCGGTCTTGCGGCTCGTGGGCAGGTCGCATCTTTTGTTGCAGCTTGGAAGGCTTCGAAGGTTCGTGTGCAGCGGCAGGCAGAAGTGGAAGCAGAACAGGACACCCGGGAATGGACCAAGCCGATCCCTACGGCTGAGTACCTCCTGCTGCGCCAGGCATACGTCAAGACCTACGGCACCTTGGATGAACGCGTCTTGCCATCAAAAGAATTTCTGGAAAAGAAATTGATGGAGGTTGAGCACGGTGAATTTAAGTCCGAGTCTCTGCAGGAGGTTACGACGCGTGACGAGCTCGATCCCGATACCCTTATGCCGGTTTGGGATTCCAAGGGTGTCATGAC